ACACAGAGGTCAAAACATAAGTCCTCCGTTTTCGGACTGCGTTTGAACGGGGACTAACAAAATGCCCACCACATGGCCAATTTGAATCCAGTCTGAAAAACAAAATGATGGCGTGAAGGTCCAATAATGTTCAATATATGCACTAAATTTTAACAAAATCTACCCATGCCTGACCGAGATCATGTTCCAGGATTGCATGATTTTGAAAATTTCTTCAGCACAAAAATGGCCGCCATTTATTCATCCTGAGTCAGATTGTGGAACAAATGTATGTATTTATAAGTATCATATGATTTATGTATATATAGAATTTTGATATGATCAGTTAATTCATGATGCATGGATAACAATTAATAAGTCATCGTTTTCAAACTATTTTTATCATTTTGCAAAGATATATTAATCATCTCTTATATTACAAAATTTGGTTTATGGTGAACAATTGGTTGTGTGATTTTGATGAATTTAGACTTTAAAATGGCAACCATTATGCAATTTTGAATTTGATCATGAAATAAATGCGTGTGATGTATGTCTGAATTTTAAACTTGATTGGTCCAAGCATGTCAGAGATAGGAATTGGAACTAGTTTCTTTAAACAAAATGGCCACCAGTCAGTCATTTTGAACCCAATCCGAAAAATAAAATGATGTGCATAAAGGTCCAACTTTGTTAAATGTATGTAACAAGTTTAAACCAAAATCCATTCACATACACACAACTGGGATGTGGTTTCGGAGAGATGAAAGTGTATTATTTAGATGCATTTTTGGCCTTAAGGTAGCGAGACTATTATTTGTGTTGAAAATTACGATTTTCACATTTATTTATTAATTGATGAAATGCACTATAAACTTTCATCTGACAAAGTCAGCGTAACCTAGAATGTCATGTAAGTTGGTTAAAATGTAGATTTTCTGAAGGGAAGCAAGGCAGCTTCAGTAACATTTTCTAAAATCAACAACACAGGTTTAATTTGTGTGCCTATAAGTTTCAAAGATTAACTCAAGACAAAGCATTGTTAGGATGTGTTATCAGTAGCTATCTGACACACAATGAGTGTTTCCAAACATTTGAGTGGTTTGTCTCCGCCCCTGTTTATTTCACAGATTAGTCATTTGCATATGAATGTGTCAGACACAAGGTCACACAGCCACTGAAAAAAATCATCAATTTTAGTGTTTTCATCTGGCGATTTTATCGAACTATAGCTATCCTATTCCTTTTATTTTTTTGGTTTCCAATAGCCTTACACATTTGGATGCCCCTACACATGTTAAAACAGACCTTAATGGGAAAACAAATCGCTTGTGCAGATAAATAAGTTTGAAAATCTTTGCTGTGACTTCATCAACGTTTTCTAGGAGCTTATGTTTTTCAAAATGCAAGGTCTTTAACAAAAAATATTGTATACTTATTGTCGTCGGATTAACACCAAATTTCCACAGCTTTAAGGTGATAATGAGAGGAACTTGAATGTGTCCAGACAAACTATTTCATGGATTATTTACCAATGTGTTGTGGTTTGAGTTGGGGTCAATGCGACTAAAACAGAAATTAAAATTCAGGACACTACTTTTTAAAAGGCGTTACTTGAATAAAACTGACCAGACACATTCAATTTACCAGACTATTGAACAACTAGGAAAAGTGAAAACAAAACTTCTTATCACCAGCATAAATGCGAATTATTTTTTTTACAAAAAAAGTAATTTTTCACTTTTGATTAAGTAACGCAACATAGAATGCAGATACGGGCATGCAAAATACACTTGTGAAAAGCTTGAAGTCTGGCGATTCCAAAAATATATACTTTCCTGGGTCTATTTGTAGTCGTTTGGTCCCAATTAGAAGATGAAAACAAGTATGCAAATAATAGTCCCGCTACCTTAAGAAAGCTGAAATTGAATCGAATCATGAAACAAACATATGTGCTTATGTTTGATATAATGTCTAATATATGTGTGAAGTTTGAGATACAGTGAATAAGGAAAGACAATCTGACTCACTTTATTTATTTTCATGTTTGAATGGGGACTGAAAACTGCCATTATGCAGTCCTCCTTTTTTGATTGAATAAATTAAGTATTGTATCATGCAGAACTGAATAATATCGGTCTATGCATGAGTTAGATTGTCTATACTGTGACATACTTACACACAAGAAAGTAGGGGTGATATAACTATCAAACTTAAAATAATCTCCAACATCTAGATTATCAACTCCATGAAATACCAATGCCACTTCATATACCTTTGTTAAATTAAATGAAAAGAATTCTGTGCAATTATTCATATTTCATAGAAAAAATGAGATCTAATTGACATTACATTTATAAGTATTGAGAGGGTATTGCTGTTGTAGATTCTGAAATAGATTTCAGTAAAAGATAACACGTTGCATACAAGCTATGTGAAATTTGTCTGAGTCAAAAAATAGAAAAATGACAAAATTACAGCAGTGTAATATAGCCTACAATGAAAAGACAATCTGAAGATGTAATAAAAAATATTAATGAGATATACACAATGCATTAAATACATATTATCTCACAATAACAGATTTTGTCAAACAATTAAAACTGGAATGACTGTGATTGAAATAACAAATATGACACCAATACATACCCTGTCAATGTAGTAAAGTCCAGCAAATATAGCATAAACAGGACATAATAGAACAAAAATACAAGACATCAATGCAGCTATTTCGTAATTTCCTAATAGATCAAGTGCTATGACTGGTCCAAGAAATACAAAAGGAACCTGTAAAGACATGTAACACATGAGAACTAAGGTAAATGCTTCAGACTGGAGCTGGCAAAAGCAAGGTGTTTTATTGGAAGCCTATCATGTAGAAAGGAAAATGTATTTGATTTTCATCTTGGCACTGTTGAGTTTTCCTATCAATGGCTTTTGAAATATATTGATTGCCACAAACAAAGTGGTAAACAAAATATGCACTAGATGCAACATGTGTACACTAGTATACTGTGTTTGGAATGAATGAAAATTTTATTAGTCAGGATATTAAATCCTTGATATTACAGATACCAAGTTTTAGGTATGACATCATGGTGACCTCATAATGAGAAAACAGGTCTGTAAATACAATGTAGCTCTTTTAAACATATGAACATTGTAACAAGGCCAACCATCATGCACTTCTTTCTATATAGAAATCTTATATACTTTTCTATATATGCATACTGCATATCTGCACACTGACGGTTTTAGTTATGCTTTGAAAAATTATCAACACAAACTACATAAAAAGTTATTCTATATATCAAAGCAATTGGAGAAAATACTTCAAATTCACATCATGAAAGGTAATTGAAGATGAAGTTGATTTTGAATATTTCTGAGGCTAATTAATAGACAACAAAATAACAAAAAAATAACTTGCATATATGCATCCAATTATTACTTTTCCTGTACTCAAGTTGATACAGACATTTCCAAAAAATGATCCTGGAAGAATATAAAGACAGAAACAAATACACAAAACCCTGTTTCATAGTATTCCTTATGGGAACAAACAAAACATTATTGATACGTACAAAGTAAGATAACCATGGTAGAGCAGACTGAGCGGTGTCATACTTGTCAAACATGAAGGATGTACAAAACTGGAAAATGGTGGCGATTGGAAGATACAGGATGAGTAATATAATCATACACAACATGGCTCCAGGAATCAGGAAATTATCCACTCGAAATATAACTACTAAAATGACACCAGTAATTGCAGGAATGCTGTACTGTACTAATCCCACCATCAGATAAACCAACCAGTATTTTTGCATCCTGACACCAGATACTCTCAGTTGTGATTTGGTTTTAAACTGTCAAATAAATTAGATATAAATGCAATAAATATATGAGCTGAATGAGATAAGTGCACAGTATGAATCTGATAAATAAACAATGAGATAGCTATTAATATGCAATTTGATTGCAATAAATGCATGTTTTATAAATTTGAAACAATGAATGAATCACATTGTATGATATAATGACAGGGATTTTTTTAAACAAGGGAACAGGGGGGCCCTGGGGAGCAGATTCTCTGGCAACCAATAAATTCTGATTAACCAGGGATCATATGTGGCCACAGTCTTCAACTGTGACCTGTCTGATAGTAATTTTGGCCCCAATCTCCCCCACTTGGTGGCGCCGCTGAATTGCAGTGCTCCCTCTTTTTTCTAGAAAAAACCCTGAATGAGATAGTTTACTTGAGATCATTGGGATATTTTTACTGGATGATAGGTATTTACTGAAATTTGAAGATGTACTTACAATGATCACATCAACCCCAAACTATAAGTTATTCACCTAGAATAAAATAGATTTCTACCTGTCTGTCTTTGACAATATCAACAGCAAAACCATTTGGTATAGTAATCAATGCAAATCCAAAAAACAATGCAAAGAACATTCCCATATTAAACCCAAGGGCCTTATCATCTTCTGGAAATGGCTTATAGGTTGTGATGAAGACATCATCGTTACTACTTACAATACCATACAATACATTGGTCATTGTGTTAAGGATGGTTGGTATGGAATGCACCGCTGAGTCGTTGTACATTGCAGTGTATTTGGAAATTACGTCCTGCCAACCAAAGATATTATTATTGTTAAACCATAGTGCAGATAGATATGATGTAATTGCTGTATGCATGATAGTTGTATTTTTATAATCTGACTTCTTTTGTGGGGTATGTGAGCTGAACTTATAGTCACAAGCATTGAAACTGTTCCCTGTAAATGACATCTATTTCATTTTATCAGATGCAGAAGCATTGTGCATAAGTATCATGTCTTGTTCACATAGCACAACATAAGTTTTATTTCGATTATGGGATGTTATCTCAACTAATTGTTAATGACATAGTAACAATTGCAATAAGTGGGAAATGTTATTCATGACTAACATGATAAATAATTTGACCAAAAAGCAAGATGGAATTTTTTTTTTTTTATCTGATCACAAATTGAATTAGATATGGAAATGTATTGCTACATAAATAATAGATGCAATAATATTGGATAATATGCAAATCACTGGTCAGTTAAAGTTTACTTTTCAACATACAGACATATAACATTGTATAACCAGATGGACAAATTGGAGGACAGAGCCCAAATTATAAATCCTTTTTTCAAACTTTGTCTGACCAGGGACTAACAAACAAAAAAAGATGGATTTATAATAAGGTTAAAATAAGAATACTGCAAAGTATGAACGCAGGAGGTACAGGATTGCATTGAGCTCCACTCATCATCAAATAACACTATTGTACTGCCTTCAAGCATAGTTTGCTTTATTCTCATGATAACCGTGTTATATCCGAAACATTTAGTAATTATATAATCTCAAACGTCAGTTAGCCTTGAATAAAAAATCCACAGGTAATTTTTAGTGCTTTCTTTGCTCACTGATGTTTTGCGTCTGGTTATTCAAAATCAGTATCACACAAAATGAAAGTAATTTACAGTAGAATAAATCAATGAAAAGCAATAATAAAATTTTATGGTAAATATGTGCAGATTGGTACATGCATGTTTTACCTGATTAATCTCATCCCATTGGTGAATGTTTGCTGCTAAATTGTGCTTTTCAGTCTGGAACAATAGATCTGTAAGATTATCTAACCGATGTTCAATATTCAATCTATCAAACTGTGATGACAAAGATGTGAGATCATTTCCTAGAAAATAAAACACAATTTTACTGAAATGAAGCTTTCATATGTTTGTAATGTACCGTAGAGTCAGAGTATAAACCCCTGCTCGATTATAAGCCCCCCCCCCCCCCAAAAAAAAATAAACAAATTTACAGCATTTTACAATAAGTCATTTATCTGATTATTATGATCGCTCCGGAGAAGTTTTAACTTTTATCCATTTATAAGCCCCCCCCTCCCCAATGTTTTGTCAATTTGTCGTTTTCCCGGACAACTATGTAATAATATGTATAATGATGGCTCGCTTTATGCAATATACTAATTGTATCCACTGACACAAAAAAACAACAGAAACATATATTGTTTTTAAATTGTATTCAATAAATCAACAAGCAAACCAATGTTATGTGGAAATGCTAATTACTAGGGCTAGACTAAGGACATTAAACTAGTGTATTTTCGTGAACCTGCTGTTCAACTAACCATCTGATCCAACATGCAAATTAGATAACTGGTGCCAAAATTGGTGTTTATTACAAAACATACAAAGTATCAAAGTAATATTCACTTAAAATATTGAAGATTTCACCACAAAATGAATAAATCTGACAGAGGTCTACTCAAGGATATTACCAAGTATCAGAACAATTTAGCAGATGGTTTTCATCAAGAATTCGAAAATAGCATTTTTAACCAAAAATGACAAAATTAAAATATTTGCTAAAAATGGAGAATTGCAAAATATTGCCACAAAATGAACAAATGTGACATAGGTCAACCCATATAAAGTATCAAAGCAACTGAGCAGGTACTTTTAAAGGAGAAGTCAAGAAGACCTAGACACCCAACACAGTACGTCGATCTGTTTGGCTTAAAATGTAAATTTGCATTTATTTATTAATTTTATTGTGCGGTAAATAGATCAAACATGACACATGAATAAATAAACAACAATCAATGGAGATAATATGGTATCCTGTGTATACTCTGCTTGGTGTTTTGTTTTGTACCTGTATCATTGTTGTAGAGAAGTTCTGTCTTGTGACTGGGACCTTCTTGTGGAGCACGTAGATATAGACTTGGTTGAACGACCAGTGGGGCGGGATCTGTTCTGTCATCAGTGGTTATGTTGATGAATTGTACCAATGCAATACCTCCAATCATGAACAGAATAGGAAATAGAATTCGAAGAATATAAGTCTGAAAATAAACATCAAGAAATGTTATTATTCGGCATTATAATGTTCAAATAAATGAACAAACTATTTTTTTCTGTACAGGAAACTACACTTGTCCCAGTCACCTGCTACCAAATCACTCACACTATATTCAAAACAGGACTCAGAATTTTGATAAATGTTTTTCATCTTGCCAATGACAGCTATGAAGTAAATTAATAATTAATGCATAGTCCATATTTTAGCATATACAATATTTAATATTAATAGTGACAATATTTAATATCCTAATCAGATTATAATTTAATTAGAATTTATTCAATAGTATGTATGAGACATTTTTCTTCCACTTTGATTCAGTTTTAAGTTCTTTTTTTGGTGAATGCTAATAAATATGCTGAAAATTGCCATTTTAGAAAGTATCCATTGAAACAATCAATATACAAACAAATATAGAAACAAATTTCATATGCAAGTGAGAATATTTTAAATATTTAGTCGTCATTACATGTGTACCTGGATGTACAAGTATCTTACTTACTCGGGCATTTCTTATTGTTAGTTTGATTCTGACATGCATGAGAGCTGTGAATTGGTGTCTTCCCGCTTTCAAGGTTCTTGTTGTGACTTGACTTGCCTGTAGTGGAGCTGGTTTGAAATCTACGGCATCAATACTGTCTTGGCCATTGACTGTCATAGAAATAGACAAATCTCGAGAGACTGAAAAATATTTTGTAAGATGAAAATGGTAAATGAATGTGACTGCTGCATTTTCTTGTAAATAAAGTGGGATATTTATATGCTGAATATTAAAGATAATAAATAAAAAGTAACATGATTGTACAGGCACATGCAACTACAATACTTATGATTACACTACTACATGTAAATATGCAATAAAAGCAAAATATTATGAGCAAAGCAAAATATTATGAGCAAAGCAAAAGCAAAATATTATGAGCAAAGCAAAAGCAGCAAGACACAGGGTTGTTTTTTGATATACCGGGGGTGAAAAAAATGTCCTATATATTACTATGTATCATTTTTTCATACAAATTGTATATCTGCCTCAAATTATGGGAAACTTACTGAACAAATAATACTGATCTGTCAAAAATATAAAACATTAAGAAAGCTTCTTATCTTTCCATAATTATGTGTTTTAACTTAATTTGACTATCAAACTACCGTAAGCTAAAAAAAATCTATGCCCTGATTCATTGTACTACATGTATACTTGTTCTATTAGAAGCACATCTTAAATAGAAGTGCATATACATAATGTAAGAATTGCAATGTATACTGAATCTTTAAAATATTACTAATTTTAAAAACACCTCTGTAATTTACATATGCTACACATAAAGCAAAAATGGTAGTGTTAGTTTCATTTTGTAAACTACATTATTACATTTTAATTAAAATATACTTCTATTTAAATAATCATACCACATCAACACAAATTGAACTGTAGTGACATTGTCCATTAATTAACAAAATATCCAAGTTTGAGAAAGATTGGGCAAATATTACTTGAATCAACTTACTTGAATCAACTCACCACTTCATTTTCATTATAGATAATATTAAAAAACAGACAATTTGAACTCATATAAGAACACAATGACAACACAAGCTCATTAATTCACTCATTCAACTATTACTTCACAGGTCATATACATGTATGGCATATTTTTTGAACTAATCAAATATAAGGCTATATGATATAAATTACTAGCTATAGTGAAAAAGGTGGAATATACCTTTTGGTATTTCATCAGCTGCATGAAGCCAGTCAGAAGAAAGTAGCACAGAAATAGAATCAATTAAAATTAAATTCAACATACTGTAGAACATGTTGAAATAGCTGCATGCAATTTTAGCGGATTTGACTCTTGGCATGAATTAACAGAATCTTAATTAAGCTAAAGTCTTGACTATCTCCCTGTGTGAATATACTTTCTGTTAAATTAGCTACATCTTGAATTAGCTAAATTAGCTAAAATAACATGCTAGCTAAAAACACATGTTTTACAGTAGTTATAAACTTCACCTGGCTGGCTAGTAATATCTACATGTAGTCTTAATTGAACTCATAAGAAAAAAAAGATAGATACTGACAACAATTAGCAAAAACAATTATAAACACTGATCCACCATTAAAATTACAGACAAGGAAATTACGATCTTTTCTGTAGAAGTATTGTTTAATTTACCTGAAGGTCTTTCTATATGTTGGTTGGAAGAATGAAAGAAGAAATTACAAGTTAAGCGTTACAAGTGTTGATTTAGATCAGATATAAAGATCATGTACCGGTATTTACATAAATACAGAATGATATTATTATGAGGTTAATAGGAGGAGTCAGTGCCAATACCAGAAGACAATAAAGTACTGTAGTATTGGATGCTACATTGTGAAGGTTGATGGGAAGGCATATTGCTGAAGTTGTATTGAGCACTTATCCAGTGATGAGAACTGATTGAATGTAATTAGGATATAGCCATATGAGTAGATATAAACCAGTGACTGAAATTAAAAGCACTCCCAGCAAATATAGAATATACAATATATAAATGATGGACCACACGACATGCATATTATAATTTTAACATTAACAAGTTAAAACATACCTGCTTTGTTGTCATAGCTACCATCTTCATTCGCTTTTTGTGTTAAACTACCATAATCTATAGAATATACAGTGCACAACATTTATTAATATCTGTATGTTCTTTTGAACATTGCTTCACAACGAGGAATCTCAATTAAATTCCAAAACAAATTTATTTATTTCATTGAAGTTTTATCGTTTTTTATAATTTTATTGGCAACCTCGTTAACATATCTGAATCATTTGCATGGTACCTGTTAAGTATTGGAAATATAATTTTGGTCTACATATAAGCATTCAAAAAATGTTCTCAAACAAGAAGGAAATAATTAAAAGTGTTTAGGTCATCAATTACTAAAAGTAAATACAAGATCTATTAGAAACACACTCTTAGTACAGAGAAAATAAAAACAAAAAGTAGTTTTGATTTTAAGAGCACACCAAATTCACCTAGAGATTTGTTAAACTTTTAAGAACTTACACTTCTAGTAAAGAAAATACCATTATAACTATTCTTTCTGAAGAAAAGTATGAATCCTAATTAACTTATGTTCTTAGAGACACATGTGTTTGACTAATTGAAATAGTGTGTAATGACATATACCTGGTTCATTCTCGGCTTCTGTTGTCAGGATTGTTAAAGCATTGAAAAAAATATTTATTGCATTTAATAAATGTCAATATAATAGGCTTATATCATAAATACAATGTGCACCATGCTCACCAAATTGCATCATGGGACAATAAAGACATCATGTGTCCCATTAATAGCACTCACATGTTTCATTGATGACATACACATGTCCCACTGATGACATATCCACATGTCCCACTGATGCATATCCACATGTCTCATCGATGACATCCACATGTCTCATCAATGAGATACACATGTCCCACTGATGACATATCCACATGTCCCACTGATGCATATCCACATGTCTCATCAATGACATCCACATGTCCCACTGATGCATATCCACATGTCTCATCGATGACATCCACATGTCCCACTGATGACATATCCACATGTCTCATCGATGACATCCACATGTCTCATCAATGACATCCACATGTCTCATCAATGACATCCACATGTCTCATCGATGACATCCACATGTCTCATCGATGACATACACATGTCTCATCGATGACATACACATGTCTCGCAATGACATCTACATGTCTCATCGATGACATCCACATGTCTCATCGACGACATACACATGTCTCATCAATGACATCCACATGTCTCATCGATGACATACACATATCTCATCGACGACATACACATGTCTCGCAATGACATCCACATTCATACATGACATATTAATAATAATTATTTACCAGCAAGAGGGGCAGCAGCAGCCTGCATGGATTCATCACTTTCTGCTTCATCACCAAGCTTCAGGAAGACTTCTTCCAGTGTTGTCATAGCAATACCATAACTATTAATACCCATGGAATGAGAAACAGACAAACCTGTTTCTTCATTCACTGTATCCAAGGCAGTGAACAATTCTAAAAAATGAGACATAAACACAGTCAAGTTATTGAAATATTGATTTTGAGAGCTAATTGTAATCAAAACCTAAAGTAAATGCATTAACTGATACAAACAATAACTTCAAATAATATACAATTAAAATTTTACTAATCAATTTTTGTTGTAACATGTATGCATTCACAATTACGTATCTGTTTTGGAAGTATTCATTACTTTATAGTTCGGTAGATTTGGATGCAGTTACTTACTAGCAAATAGACCCACATCATGCAATGGTAACGTATAAGTAAGCTCCATTCCATATAATCTACCAAGCTCAGCATTAGGTATGTATGACTGTACATAAGCTGTCACTTTCTCAGGATCACAGTCTTCTCCAATGTACATTCTGTAATGATTCAAGCAGGAGGTTGAGGGGTACTCAATTTAATGTACTTAATTGAAGGTTCAATCCCCTACATATTTTCATCTAATCTAGATGGTAACACTACCGGTAATTATTAAACAAAGTCATTCTAGTACTGCATGTTTTCAACCTCGCCTAAGGAGTCATACTCAAAATGGACAGTGCACTACATGTTTTCATATCACCTAGGGAGTCATACTTAACAAGGTCAAACTTGCCCCACAAAACTTCACCTCACCTGGAGAAGAGAGGGGGGTTCATACTCAAAATGGTTAACCTAGCACTGCATGTTTTTATTTCACCTAGGGAGTCATACTGAATAAGTTAATCCAGCACTACATATTTTCTTCTCACCTTGGAAGTCATACTCAATATGGTAAATCTAGCACTATATATTTTCATCTCACCTAGGGAGTCATACTCAATATGGTCAATCTAATACTGCATATTTTCATCTCAACTAGGAAGTCATGTACAATAAGGTCAATCTAGCACATTTTATCTGATCTAGTGATTCATTCTCAATATATATAGGGTCAACCTATAGTACGTCTGCTTTTTTTCATCTCAACTAGTAAGTAATACTCAATAAGTGACTGACAATGACACTAGTTGTGTTAGTATTTTTTCAAAGTGAACTTTTATGAGCTAAATATATCATACAAATTAGAGCCAGTTTATTCTTTGTGTTGAATAAGATCAGTCAAGGCATGTCAGCATTTGTTACATACAACAAAATGGCCACCAGTCAGCCATTTTGAAGATATGCGTCAAGTTCAATGTGAGTCACTAATTTTTAATAAATATGTCAATTAACAAGCAATTAAGATCTGGTTTTGGAATACTAGAAATGCTTGATTTTGATGCATTTTTAACATTAAAATGGTCGCCATACATGTAACATGAATCTAAGTGCATATGTGTGACATGTTTGATACACATGTAAAGTTTGAATGTGATTTGTCAAGTCATGTCAAAGATATGGTCATAGAACTACATGTTCATGCACGACCTGAAGCAAAAATGCTTGAATTTGATGAATTTTTAGTTTGACCATCTTAAAGGGAAAGTCAAGGCTAACAACATAATACTCCCAGATAAAAGAACTTGGCAAATGTAAGAACATGCAGTTAACAGTTTTTTTATATCACTTTTCATTCTATAGATATTCAACTTTTTATCAATTTACGTAGTCTGTCATCTTGAATCTTCAGCAAAGGATTATGGGTAAAATATGACATCGTAGAATCTTTTGTCAGAAATTGAGAAATCATTTCATCTATAACTTCAAAAGTTGAACTTCAAATTGACTGAAAGTATATATGGTAGCATATATGTAATGGTGCCAAAAATAGTTGTCATGGAAACAGAACTGAAAATATTTATTTTTATGTTTTTCTACCAAATGCTTAAATTTCCTTATTTTCTATACAATTTACATATGTGAGTATGTTATATAGGTGATATATTACCTGTTGACCACTAAAAGGGAACAATAAAGTGTCATTCTATATTTCACAACCAAAATAACATTTTTTTTTTTTTTTACGTTTTTGGCAATATTGTCACTTTATTTGTATTTATAACATTTTACTTTCCATTACTATAATCATATACATGAGTAATATGCACAACAAAAAATTGAACTAATTCGCATCAGTATTTCTCATGTTATAGATGAAATAATTTTCTCAATTTCTGACAACAGATTCTATGATGTCATAGTTTACCCATAATCCTTTGCTTGAGAATCAAGATGGCTGACTACATAATACTGATGAAAAGTTGAATATCTAGAGAATGAAAAGTGATATAAAAACTGTATATTGCATTCTCCTACAATTGTAGAGCTTTTTCTTGGGGGGGGGTCATAATGTTGTTTGGCTTGATGTTTCCTTTAATTGAATTGTATCATGAAACCACTAAATGTGCTTAGTGAATGAAATGATGTGTGTGTGAAGTTTGAATGGGATTAGCCCATGCATACAGGTATGCATAAATGGATTTACAGAGATGAAATTACAAGATCATGTCCAAGAGGAACTATATTTTTTTCTGGTCTATAGGGAGTCATACTCACTAAGGTCAATCTAGTTCAATACATTATCCTCTCACCTAGGGGGTCACATAAATAACAAGATTAATTGTGTCTATTAGCTTATCTTACCCAAGATGATATCCGATACCAAATTTACTTTTCAAGAATAATGATGTACCATAGCATCTAAGTTTTCCTTTTGAGATGATGGCCTTACGATCTGAATAGATAGAATAATAATAGATAAACAGAATAGATAAATTAAACAAATAGATATTTATCAATGGTTTATATATATTATGTTTACACCACAATAACAATTCATATTTCATGTCAGAGGTGGAGTGGCTTTATGTATATATATATGTGAATATTATTTGGTTATATCAACTTCAGTTTCAATAGTTACTCATTGTTCTGTTACAAGTGAAATGCTGAAGAAAAGTATTCAATATGCAAATGAAGATCATTAATATACAAATATATTGGTATCAATAACTAAAATCATCTTGCACGGACAGACGTTTATTTTTTGCCATATGAAGAATAAAACTGAAAGCAAAACCACCTTTTCACACAAATATTTATAATGCCTCAAAAATAATAATGATAATTTTTTTTTTACCAGCCAGAATATCAGCTTCATCCATAAAATGTGTTGTAAGAACAATCACTCTGCCTTCTCTGTTATTTTTTAATAAACTCCATAAATGACGTCTTGAATAAGGATCCATTCCACTGGATGGTTCATCTAAAAATAAAATCTAAAAAAAGAAACTAATGAACAATGACATATTTGGTTTATATTAAAAATGAAAAAAGCTCAGTCTTATACTCTGAGATGTTGAAAACAAGTTAGCATAATAATTTCAGTGCACTTAAATTCCATAAAAATAAAATACTCTGGCCTCTAGACACCTTCTCTATTTATTATATATCTAGAATGCATACCAAAAATATTTACTGTTTTGCAAAAAGCGATGTCTGAACTTCTTCCAAAATGTATTCGCACTCATTTAAATTTTCCCTTATATGGGGTAAACTACTTCACCAACATTGACATACTCAAGATTATCGACTTCACATTTGAACACTTTTCATTGTTGACATTGGATGCAAAAACACTATTATAGCGCATGACGAAAATACGATCTTATTACCAATCAGGAATATTCTCACAACGCAAAATGTTGTTCATTATCATTTCGGGTTGTTCTCTCTTATTCATTAAATTAATTTTGAAAGAAGTTTTAAAATACAAAATATTATTTAAAGGTTGAACTGGTAGGATTTAGTAAAATTCGGTGATTAAAAAAACCATTAGATGACATACATGCTGCTTCATTTGTTTTCAGAAAAAGCATTTCCATCAAAACACAATGTGATGATGCTTCATGGCCAAAAAAAAGCTTAGAAGTATTCTAGGTATTTGAGGTACATGAAGCAAAATTATGGAATATTTAAAATTAGTATTTTACACAAAAAGCCTATTGACTATAAATATAGGTCTACAATATGTGATCCACATTATACCAACAAAAACATAGTGTAACTATTACAACTTTGTCCATTGAGAATCTAGATATAACAAATGAATATGGTCTTGTACAATGCCTTCATTACAGCATTGGTTGCACATGGCTATCCAAAATAGTGTGTTATAGTCATATGTTTTGTTCTAAGTTTTTACTATAGCACTGCCGATCGCTATCGGCAAGTGTTCCAAATATTAGTTATGCATATTAATGAGATACACTTATTTGTACCATCAGTTCAACGGTTTCTGATTTCATTAATTAAAGCCTAAATATGAACTGAATGATTGGTCCAAGAAAAAAAATCTTAAGTGGACAAAATAACTAAAAACAACAAATTCTGTGATTTTTTGACAAGCCAAAGAATTATGAAAATCTGCAAAATAATGGGTTGTCAAATTGTCAAACCCTCATGGCATACAGCCAAGAATTGATATGACAGGGTTATATCATATCCTGCTGCACATGTAGTACACCATGTACTTGGAATAGAATGGAAATTCAAGGCATACAACTTGGTCTACATGCATGCCTCTGAAACATGTACTTACCTTGGGATCACCAATCAATGCCATTCCAACACATAGTTTTCTCTTCTGACCACCACTCAAGCTCTTAGCATGTTTATCACTACATTTGCTTAAGTCACAATCCTTAAGAATCTTTTCCACCTAAGAAGAATATTATACACTATTTAAATCATAAATCTAATATCATATTGCATTCTACTGCTTCATTCCATACAACAGACATGCATACATACATGTGATCAATTGAACCATTCATAATGCCAACATATTTGTCACTACCGCTTTATTGAATATATTACAGTAACTGTAAATGCATTTTAATTATTCACTGGTTTTAATTTCGATATTTTCGCTGATAAGTAAAATCTGCTAAATTAAATCTATGTGAACATGTAGAATAACAATAAAACGCATGAACTTTTAAAACACAGTGAATCAGACTCAGTTCAAATCCTACCTTAGGCTGAACATCAAAGGGTCGACCCCTACCCTGGGTGAGTGTGCCACAGACTCAATGGGAAAGCGTATTTCACTGGCCAAGATTCATTCACTAACAAATGCGAATTTGGGGGAACCTTGGTTAAGGTCCGCAGGTGCTTGTGTTCTAACGAGCCTGGTTGACGCCAGGATAGCGCATTAAAATTGCCATTTGACAGAGAGATGGCCACATAGCCCTGTCATGTAGTCCCAAACATAAATATGACTTCTGTGGCAAAATGCCCTATGTGTCAGCACTAGTAATTGCAATTTGCACATACAAAAAAAGTCAGGAGAGACAACAGTGACACTCAATGTCCAGAATTGTCGCCTGGCACAAAAAATAAATAAAAACACAGTAAAAATATGCTCAAAACATCAAAAAAGTGAAATTAAATGTCAGTGAAAATAAATGGTATTACAGTATACACTTGCATGAACTTCCAGAAGGTTTACATGACCTCAATGTCACAGGTCATGCACAAACTTGTTAGGTGTTAGCAATATGTGCATGAACTTGAATAACATTATTTTCAATAACACCTTTAAGTTATCGTCATCAGAAGACTAAGGAGTTATATTCTTTCAAATTTGCAGGGAAATTAATATTAATTGTATGTAATTAGTATACACGGATTTTGACTATAAATTACATATTAATTTCTGGGAGTGTCAAAAATTATTAAGACAATGAAGTAATTAACATACATAAATTTAATTAGTATGCATGACAAAAACTAATCAGGTTTTCAGAGTATCAAAGAGCACCAAGTATGTGCCAAGTTTGATTGAAATCTGCAGAAAATGAATAATTAGTATGCATATATTGAAATTTGATAAAAGTGAGAATCATTCTAGCTTTGACATTAATAACAGAAAGGCATAATATAAATATGTACGTGTTTACTACCAACCTCTTGTTCTATTTTCTCTGGTGGAATACCTTTGAGACCAGCAAAAACTCTCAAATGTTCACTGGCAGTGAGTGCATCTAATATAACATTTTGTTGTAGACAAATACCAGTTATTGACCTTATGTGGGTCATGTCATTAGCATTTGTGACATCAAGTCCATAGATAGATGCACCTCCAGATGTTGGTGGTACCATGCCATTCAATGCATTGATCAGTGTAGTTTTACCAGCTCCATTGTGTCCTAATAGACATGTGATCTCCCCTTCATAGATATCAAGTGATATACCTATTGAGAACAACACGTTCAAATACTATTAGCTTCAATCACTAAAAATGCATCTGCAAGTCAAAAAGCATCTAACCATTTCGTTGAACATAGCCATTCTCATTTGTTATAGTTTCTAAAATGTACATTATGTAATTGTTACTAACGGGGAAATGTACACGGAATTGTTACCAAACTAATTTTTCATGGAAATGTAATATTTTAATTTTTATCTTCAAGTACCAGTAATATTTCTTTACTGTATCTTTATGATAAGTATAGTTTTAGTTTTTTAGAATAGTTTGTTATACCTTTATTACATTTGTATTCACCTAAATTGAATTTCTTTCAATATGGTTGTAATAAAGAATTATCTTATCTAATCTAAGTTCAAAAATTATGATAGGTTGATAGTACGCACTAATTTCTTCAAAAGATTGTTTTCCTTCAAAATTGTCACTAACTTTTGGTTGTGAGGGTGCATGATTGGCCATTTTCATTATTCTGTCAAAAGTTTGACTAAATGTATGGTTAAATTAATTATTTATGCAGTTATCAGATTGGAGTATTTTATTTTTTTCTAAACTCAATGAATGAATTTCCATGTTAAAATAATATGTGGCTATTACGATACCTTAAAGAATGCACAAGGACAGTTTAGCGAGAGTATTGACTGACGCACATGGAGGTTGATGTGATGGGGTTTGTACTGTCCGAGTGCATACTTTGAAATATTCTTGTAATAAACTTATTATTATACATCTTTTCCTTCCAAGGATACATCATGAGAATGCCGAAATCTAAAAAGTTTAGAAAAGAATCAGCGAACTTCTTTGTGTGGAGTCAGGTCAAACCCTTGTGGCAGGCATGTTTGTTTTTATTATTAGAGGACGCTTACGCGCGTTATCATTCCATATTTTGAAATTCACATTTCCTAATATGGTAGGATGAAAATACCCCGTAAAATACCGCAAAATTACGGCACGCTGTAACTTATGGTGTTACGGTGACAGATGCATAATAATAGAATTTACAGTAGTATATTGTATTTGGTGTTTAATTGTAGTTAATTTTCAAAAATCCATTGGTGGGTACAAACATTCTAATATACATTATGCACGTTTTACATAGCCAGGCTGAGTGAGAGACAAAAGACAATCAATGTAATTTGCATAGTGACTCAAGCTGTTACATATGAACAAAAAATCTTCAATTAGTGCCATTATGTCCATGTTAGCATTAATTTTATGGAAGACAGCTTACCACTTTGTCACGAATATATCTTCATTGATCAGTTACATGACATGTAGTGAATAAATAGTATGTTTTATAGGTAATACTGATTGTCATGAATTATTAGAAGAATCTTATATAATTTTACATTGTTGCAAACTTTTTGCCTATTTTTGGCATTTTGTCACACAGTTTTCTTTAAAACCATGAAGTATGTTGGGTAAAAACACCTAAAATGCGAGATGCAAATCTATAATCAAGTAGCACTTTTAAAACAATATATTGATAAAATATTCACCCAATTAAATAGGTCGAATTATTTGAGAATGACCTTAATCTCCTAAACAATTATTAACATAAAAAGTACAGAATCGTGATACGTTTATTGACATATTGGATTAAATCTGTTTATTGCAAGTTGTGTACTAGCTGTTTTTATGAGCTGTCATTGTCAAGTTTTGCATGTTTTTATCATGGCCCTATTTCTCTGACAGACACACATAAAAAAAATAATATAATTACCATCAATAGCATGTACGTCTTTTCCCTTGTCACCACTTTTGAAAACTTTCACTAAATTTGAAATTCTAAAGGTAAGAAAACAATTTATTGGACATCAATGTAATTAATGTATTGGTGTACTATATTTTCAGTGTGATTTACTTGTTGTTTATTTGAAATTTATTATTGTATTGTATGTGTAGTTTATAAAAAGCTTTAATACAGCAATTACCAAAACTGAAATGTCAGATTTCATTAAGGATGTAATAAAGCATTATCTATTATATTCTATTCTATAAAAGATGTTGCTCAAAAAGATAGTGCATGTGCAGGTCAATTAATTTTTTTCTCTGCATGTTTCTAAAGATTTGTCAAAGATTATAATGGTGCACAATACTGCATTTTGTGCAAGATAAACACAATTTTAAATTAATCACATAATACAATTTAATGAATAGGGAATTTCCAACAAGTGACTCATGATATCAGATTCACTAAACTGTAATAATTTTCAACTGTTCTGAGCCTTTTAAATCTGATATCATGGGTCATGAAGTTTTGATATTCTATTAATCACATGTATTCAATTCGCAATTATTTCCTCATTAGAAAGTAACATCACTTTGGTTATTTGTGTGTGAGCTTTAATCTTATTAAGCCTGCCAATCTCATTTACATAGTAGAATACTTAAATTAACAGTTTTACATTTATTGCCTGTACCTGTAATAATTCATTTATTGAGTGGTCAATATATTTATGGTTATAGCAACACATTGGTAACCTTCTGCACACTTTTGCGGTAATTCTATCAGTGGTATCGAACATTTCATGGCAGATCGGCAAAGTGTACAGTTAAAGAAACAAATCCTGTGCTTAGCGAGGATGATGTTGGAAGAATTAAAAATTGCAATGTCCACAAATTCTGCATTAAAGTGCAAAACGAGCCATATTTTGGTCTCCTAGGAAATTGACAGTTAATGATGTCATAAACTCAAATTGCAAGCAAGAACCAATGAAATTGCTGATATTGGTGATATCGAAAATATCGCATGGCTTCATAACATGTTTTTGCATGATACATGTGCACATCATTCAACAAACCTGTTGAAATCAGAATTTGTTTATTACCTTATTCCTACTTTGGATTGTAAGCCAGCAGAAACAGGCTCAATTTCTGCATGGATACTATTGACAGAAGCTGTCAAGAAGCTGGTACATTCAGTGTCAACTCGAGTTTCTCTTCTTTTCCAGTATGATGGCATAAAACAAAAGAAGATTGGTTTTCTTTGCCCATACTCTCCTGATACATAAAGAAACAAACTAATTAAATTCTCGATATATATTCAAATCATACAGGTAGAAATATTACAATCAGATACTGAAAAACATATTGAAGTGTAAAACTATATGCAACACAAATGTAGGTGTTGTTAATAAGAAGTGCATTTCATCATAGCCGTCTGATATGTCTCTAATATACATAAGAAGTGCATTTCATCATAGCCGTCTGATATGTTTCTAATATACATAAGAAGTGCATTTCATCATAGCCGTCTGATATGTTTCTAATATACATAAGAAGTGCATTTCATCATAGCCGTCTGATATGTTTCTAATATACATATACACTTGTAAAGATTATTCAAATGTTTCTGTGACACATGAAATTGAAGATGAAAAAATGAAAAAAAATGAAAATCACTAAAATTAATCAGTTCCCCTTCAATTAACCTTAATTTCCAGAATATACAATTTGCATGTTTCAATGTCACATGATTTGTGTCCGAGCAAGTCATCAAATCCGCCATATTGTCTATGCTAGTTTAAAGCTAATTATTGCATATAATACTACTATCTATCTTACCACAACCTCATTTTTGTATTTGAGATGCAGTCGAATCCTTGCAGGATTGACATTGTCAAAGAACTAATAATGAGACTGACCTGGTATGACATTGTCAAAATAAACAGCAAGTACTAGATACAATACTATATCCACTGATAATATTATCAATGCATATGCAAATGATAGCTCTCCTTCTCGGGCACTCCAAATATTATCAAACTGGACACCATTATCAACACTCTCCAGTTTAGTAACCTAGGAAACAAACAGCATTTTATATAAGTGTACCAATAGTAGTCTGGCGGACAAGCCCATTCAAAATAATTCAATAACAGAGTCAGTTATGAATGATGTAACAGTATATTATGTCATTAGTGGATGGTGGTTGACATGAGGCAACATGTTTGGTATGGTCTCGTACAACATACACATCTCGTACAACATACACATCTCGTACAACATACACATCTCGTACAACATGCACATCTCGTACAACATACACATCTCGTACAACATACACATCTCGTACAACATACACATTCAAAAAGATTGTACGACAACCACCATCATTTAATTATTTAAGACCTTTGAACACTATCAACATTTTAGCATGAACGATAAAATGCCTGACTAAAATGCACAGAGGAAATGTTTTTCCAATGATTATAATAATATACATGTCAATAGTGAATTAAATTTTTTATTTCGTGTCCCAAGAACTACATGAACATCTCAAACGTGATGATGCTCATTTTTTACCTACCAGTGATTCATGAGCATCAACATGTCATTGATAAATAAATCATAACAAAAGCAACTACCTAATGACTGTGACTTGATATTTCAAGATTTGTCAATGAATCAGTTTGTGAAATCAAATTAAGTTAATTTTGTGGTAAAGGCCATGTAATATAACGCAACCTAAAGTTCAACATCAAAGAGTAAGAAACCAGAAGATAATTTCTACTTTACATTTCATTTTCTTGATGTCAGGTTTGGTTTAATTAAGGCCTATGCATGTTTTTAATCAGAAATATACATGATATATGTGTAGATTGCATTTTAAGTATTAACACGAATTCTGATAGCGAAATTGACATGTAATCAATACAAATTTCACTACAAACAGAACAGAATAAGTTCCAGATTGTTCCATGTGTTCACACCTGTTCCAAATGTCTATGAGAATTAATTTTTATGTTGAATATAGCATGAGCATGCTGCAATCTGAATTGTTTGATGTAATATGATACTCCTGTAATAGAATGTGATGCACTAGAAGATGCATGCTTTGACATTTGCTACAGTTGAAAGTGTCTGTATACTATCTAGCATAGAATAAGCTGGTTCAATATAGCATAGGGTTAGATATAAATAGCAAATAACTAAATACATTGCTAAAGAAGGAAAACTATCAAATTCTCTAATAACTGTCAACAAGAACAATGAAATTGATTATTAATTTAAGTTACTAACCTTATCAATTGCCATAGCCATGGTGAAAGGAGATAAAAAACTCAATACAACTTGTAACTGTACAGGCAGAGCAGATGTCAAAGCAAAGGGTAAATACAATAGTGACATAAAGAGAGAGGATATACTGGCTACTCCACCAGCTACTAAAGCTTTATTGAAGAATGGTGTCATCATGAATGATACAGTCACAACTGGAAGAAAACAAACAATTTTATCAACTTTTGCTACCTTGCACGAAAAAAAACCAGCATCATATTATGGCCAATAGGCCATACTGGATTCAATGACCAATAGCCATACTGGATTCAATGACCAATAGGCCATACTGGATTCAATAACCGATAGGCCATACTGGATTCAATGACCAATAGGCCATACTGGATCCAATAACCAATAGGCCATACTGGATCCAATAACCAATAGGCCATACTGGATCCAATAACCAATAAGCCATACTGGATCCAATAACCAATAGGCCATACTGGATCCAATGACCAATAGGCCATACCGGATTCAATGACCAATAGCCATACTGGATTCAATGACCAATAGGCCATACTGGATCCAATGACCAATAGGCCATACTGGATTCAATGATCAATAGGCCATACTGGATTCAATGACCAATAGGCCATACTGGATTCAATGACCAATAGGCCATACTGGATCCAATAACCAATAGGCCATACTGGATCCAATAACCAATAAGCCATACTGGATTCAATAACCAATAGGCCATACGGATGCTAACGACCAACAGGTCATACTGGATCGAATAACCAATAGGCCATACTAGATCCAACAACCAATAGGCAATACTTGATCTAATGACCAAGTGAACATATTAGATCAGATGATCATGTGAACATAATGGGTCAAGCATGGATGAAGACGACATATAACTGTGAATTCAGGAAAAAGTAATATTACTAATGAGTAAGTTTAAAGTGGCAATAGCTATCAATCTTTTGGCGATCCGCTCCGCTAGGATTGCCCTTATAATCACTTTTGTCGTTTTGTGTGTGTGTGTGTGTGTGTCTGTGTGTGTACATTTCCAGTGTTCCAGTGTTCACGTATTATTTCTTCTGTGATTTTTTTGGCTTGGCCGATTTCGTTCAAACTTGGCAGGTAGGTCACACCTTAACCCTAGTTATTAGGAAAAATCTGCAAAAAATTTTGGCCCACCGTTGCCATAGCAACAGCCAAAAAAACTGATTTTTGGATAGCTTCGCGCCAAATGTTTCTCCTCCTACAAATTTGGGATAAAACACTTCAGACATAGCTCATTCTACTCAGCTTGAGTGTGGGCACAAAGTTACCATTTGAATTTTTGATATTTGTTTTCATTACCGAGAAATTTGACCCTAAACTTGGGGTAACTTTTCACCAGCAACGGCTTTTAACTCCTCTGTGATTGTTTCGGCTCCACTGGTTTTGTTCATACTTCACA